ACGGGCCCAAAAACAAAAAAACCCCCCCCCCCCCCCTTCTTCAAAACATGGAGATGCAATTAGCTTGGCCTACAGAGAAAGCCCAACTCCCAGAGCTCTAGTGCAGGAGGAGACAGAAAGCTTAGTAATCACAAGCATGCTTCCAGGGAATACATCATTGAGTCAGAGAACCCACTTTGCTGGCAGGAAAGTAGGAAGCCTGCCCCAGCCTCTTACTGGAGTCTTTATGCATTATATCCCATCCCTTCACAGGGCAGCCAGTTTTAGCTAAGACTGCTGTTAGTTCTCAGCTGAGCTGGCTCTTGGCATTTGTTGATTTGACAGATATGCTCAAGTTACTCTAGCCCAGCATGAGCTGGATTAACCAGCTCCACAGCCTTTGGATAGGAGGGTGCTTGAAACAGGTGAGGGAAGGGAGGGGGCAAGTCTCAAGTTTGCTTGGCCTCAGTTCAAGAACAGCAGTATTTTCATCTTCAATTCTTGGTGTTTCAAGGGGCTGGAGGGGGAAGAAGGGGTCAGGACTCCTGTCCCAGGTGCTGTAGCTTCTAGAGAAATTCAAATGTAGATTTTTCTTGCTAATTTAGGTGCCAGTTGTAGGAGAGCTGCACTGCACAGAACAAGCCGTAGATGCCCCCCCTCCCTTGTCATCTGCCAGAAGGGAAGGGAACTAGGAGTGCACTCATCCAGACTCCAGGGTGATTTCCTTTCTGCTGAGTCTCAACAAACACCGTGTTGTCAATACAGTAGGCCAGTCCTTTAGTGAACTTATAAGCTGTTCTGGCATGGCAGAAGCCATGCCAGCAGCTTGCACCATCTGCAGAGCTGTCCGGGTTCCTTCATGTTCAATTTGTACAGTATAAATGCAGGGCCTGTGTAGCAGGCAAGGTTTGGAGTCTTGTCCAGCAGATTCAGTCGAAGGAGGGGCCCATGAAAGTAGTGGGGATTCAGTTTTTACTGTGGCCTGAGTCTTGAGCCCCGGGTCACTATGTGCAAAATGCCAATCCTAACCGTTTCACGCATTCTCTGCAGTGCAGGTTCTGCCTCCCGGAGCTCTTCAGTGGGACGTGCAGCTGGTGGGCACACCGCAATTCCTTCCTTGGCCCCCCACAGGGTTTGGGCTGAGGATGTGCTGCTCTGTGCCAAAGGGAGGTTGTCAGCCCCCTTGCAAGTTGCTGCATCAGCTGTGTCCACAGATGCTTCTGAACTCTCCTCTGCAGCAGGCTGCGTTGTCCCTTCGCAGACTGGGATGTCTTCAGTTGCCTGGGCAGACTCCTGGCCAACTTGCTGAGCAAGCAGGGCTTCAGCAGGACAGCATGGAGTCTCTTGCACAGCCTGCATAGCAGCCAGGGCCTCGGACTGGTCTGTGTCTTGGTCATTTCTCTCACTGGGCTGGGCTTCACTTTCCTGCGTGGTCTGTAGATCAGGCTGGACAGTAGCAGGGTGTTGCTGTGTCTCTTGCATCACCTGTGGAACAGTATCAACCCGTGTTGCTGGCTTGTCTTCTGCCACGTTCTGTGCAGCCTGGCTCTCCCTTGTGGTTTGTGCAGTCAGGGCCTGAGTCTCTTGGCAATCTGGTTCGGCCTCCTTAGTTGCTTCTGTGGCCTGCACAGTGGAGGGGACCGCAACAGTCCTTTGCACGTCATCATCCTGAAGAGCAGACTCTCCAGCAGGAGTCATCTCTGCAGTACGCTCAACCTCAGCTTCCCGCTTGCTCTCCACAGCGGGAACGGCCCCAGATTCTCCCATAGGCTCCATTGCAGGTTGCATCTCTGAGGGCACATGCACTTCAGCCTCTATAATGGTGTGCGCAACAGGCTTTGCTTCAGCAGTTTCCTGTCCTGCCTGAGACACAGGTCGGCTTCCCTCTGCGAGATGGGGGGCAGGGTGTTCTTTGCCAGTCTCATCTAGACACTCTCCTTGCTCTTGCACAGTTTGTGGAGCAGGCTGCCCATTTGGCATCATCTGTGCAGGGGCCTCAGTTTCTTGTGGCATCTCAGCTGCTGGGGGGACCTCTGCCTCTTGCCCGTGCAGCTCAGTCAAGCAAGTTTCTGTATTCTCTTCTAGCACTCGTGCAGCAGGCTCTGCATCCAGTTTGGCCTTGTTTTCACCAGTGCCGTGCTCAGTCTGTGCAGCAGGCGGGACCTTGATGGCTTGGGGAGTCTCTTCCATATCCTTGGGAGGAAAGTGGTTCTCTCCAGTCCACGTGGCAGCGTCTTGCAAGGTCTGGACAGGGAGAGTCTCATTAGCTTTGGTCTTCTGCATTTTGGATCTGAGAAGAGTGCGGAATCCCTTCTTCTTACTGAAGGTACTCCCCATGGCCAGCACCTGCAGTCAGACACTTCCCTCACAAGACCTTTACTCTTGAATGTTTTTTGACCTTGGTACTAGTAGCTGGCAGGGTCTTTTAGGAAAGTGGGAGACAGGCAAGGATCCCAGGCTGCACCCTGCGTCAGGAGTAGCCGAACAAAAGCACCCTACCTGCAAGATATGAAGAGATTCATTAGGGATTAATGATGGGTAAAGACACAGCAGACACCAACTCTGAGCAATTGATTGGAAGGGCTGATTTGCCAATAAGGTGCTGCCACAGAGGCAAAGGGCAGATATTCCCCAGATAATGCTATGGGATCTTGCTGAAGTGCCCATGATCACATTTCCTTGAGGAAATAAAGTTATGTTAACTGCTTTAATGGGAGCTTGCAGGACAGGAGTGAAAGCACTGGAAACTGCCCCATAAAGTTTGTGTCCCCATACTTCTTTTTTCTGGGAAGGTTATGCAGGAGCCAAGTAGTGGGAAGGAGGAAAGAAGAAACCCACACACCCTAGTATTTAGGGTTTTGTTTCTGGACTCTAAAGCAAGAGGAGCTATAGGGGGGGTGGGATTTAAAGATATATTTGAGTGTTTTCAAACTAGCAGGGAGAGGGTTTACAGTCACAAAAGCTGATAGGAGTGAGCTTTTTCTGTTCCTTCCAATCACCCCTGTTTAAAGGTTTCAGCTTTCCCCCTCCCCAACAAGCGACTGTTCTCAAGTGCTGCAGGATTCGGGACATTAAAAAGGAAAAGAAAGCCTCAAAGTGAAGAGCTGTGACAGCTGGCAAGACTGGGTCTTTACATTTTCAGCAATTTACAACTAACATAGGTGGCTTAAAAGTAACACCTGACTAGTACATCAGGTAACTCAGCCTTGAGGAAGAGGGACATAAGTCTGTGTTTGGCTCATAGCAAGAAGGTGTTAATAAGTTCTGGAGTTAGAACTTGCTTTAAGAAAAAAAGGAGGAGAGAGAAAAGAGGAGGCAGAGAGACAGAGCAGAATTTAATTCCCTTTCCTATAGCTGCATTGCCTCTGCAGAGGCCAAGAAGGAAGCTAGAAGTAAGCCATAAGTCAGTTAGGCTGTGGCTTGCCTTCCCCACCAGGATGGATCACTGCTTGGTTATCATGCAAGTTCCTTCTTCCATTTCAAGAGATGCAGGGAAAGTTCAAGAGCACCTTCAAAGTTTAAGGGCCTGAGGCACTTTAAAGATACCTTGCTATATGCATTTGTTAGTCAGAACTTTGCAATGCAACAAAGGACTCTCTGTAGAGCAGAGCATGTTAATAGAGGGCAGGGAGAGACACATATCTTTTAATTGGATATCAGCAACAGGTATATAATTTAACTACTTTATAGGCTACTAGAGTCTGTACATTTCCAAGAAGCAAAAAGGGACTCCCTGCTAGTACCTGACCCCATCTTATGAGAACAACAGTAAGTTTTCTTCCAAGATATTTCTGCAAGTTGATTAAGTACATTGAAGATGATTGTATCTGGGACCAAATAGAAACTTAAGGGGTAAAGTACACAATCAAATCAATGGCACCATCAAACCCCCATCACAGAATGAATATACACAGAGACAGACCAGCCCACACTTACCAACCCTCCTCACTAGCTCTGCAGTCTCCACTAATTACTCAGCAGCTGCTGGGTCCATCTGCTTTAAATAGGGCTAGGTAGTTACAGCAAACCCCTTCCTCCTAAATCCCTAAAAATTAGTTCCACTAGGTTACTGTGCTCTCACACTATGCTTCCTGGGGAAACAAGGAAGGAGCTTCAGTTTCCTTTGGGTTGCTTTTTGCAACAGTCTATGACTTTGGTTCAGTTGATAGAGGTTTTGTTTTGTTTTGGTCATTTTGTAGTTGGCTTTACAGTGAAAAATAAAGTAAAGCTGAAATTCAATATGGTGCAGTGCTTGTCTGTGCAAATTGATGATCAGTTAGTAGTGTATGGTGCAGACCAGCAGAAAACCAGGCACACTGCAGCTATATGCAAGTAGTTAGTTATGCAATTTAGGAATGATATTCTCAGAACTAGAGCTGTGGTATTATTTTATGGCAGGCATTTTGGGGGTATCTGAACCCCTTTTAGGCTGCCTTCCAGGGATTCAGTCTTGCAATCGGTGATTCTACTGCGCTTGCTGATTGTTTCAATACCATCAGCCTCAGCTAATCACTCACTGCTACCCAGCGCAGAAGTCACTGTTGTTGTACCACCCTAGTTACGTGTACTGATTGGAAGCAAGCTGTAAATTGTGAACCAGCCACGTACAAAACAAACACAAAACTTTATTAAATGCCAATGAATCCCAAAGGCAGAACGATAAAAACAAGTCATCAGGCCCTGCAATCAGAAATGGCTGTAAGTGGGGTCACAGGGATCAACCTTTCTGGAGTTCCAATTTTTTCCAAGTGGGTCTTAAATTTTGTGATGCCAAAACTGGCCCAACTTTTTCCCCATGTCACTCCCTACAATGACCCTTTCCTATGAAAATAGGGAGGCAGGCCACAAGCCTGCAGGTCTCAAGTCTCCAGGTCATTTTAGGTCTATAATTTGCCTGTGTGTATTTCTTGCCTTTTTCTGAGATCCAGGATCTGCTGTGAACAAACAGGCTGCCCCATCCCTGAGTGTGCTGATTCTGTGCCCTCTCTTATGATAAAGATTTTTACTCATTTCCTTATGGCACTTTCACAAAGCTTCTTTGTGTACTGGCTGCTGGGTTTCAATGCCAGTGAAGAGTAGAGACAGCAGATGACTCATCCTGACTAGTCAATCTATTTCATAGTTAATAATTCTGTGATCTGAATGTCTAAAGAACAGGAGGGGCGGTACAAAGACACTGGCACCAGCCAAATATTTCAGACTGGTCACTGGAAAACTGCAGGTCTGGGCAGCGCTTACTATTGTGCACACAGTTTGCAGGGTCCAGGTACATCCTCCGCGTTTTTACCGCCCTCTACATATATGTGTGGTGCTTGTTGTAGAGCAGGGCTACAAGCCTGCAAAGGAAATTTCAAAAAAGGGGAAGCCAAGTTAGCTGTCTCTGCTGATACCCAGGGCTAAATAATAAACAGAATGGACGTGCAGCTGCTCTCTCAGGCCAAAGAAACCAGTAGAGCATTTACTATTAACTACTTTACCAGGACTGTGAATGGTCAAACAGAGTTATCCAGGTGGCCTCGAGGGGGAGAGGTTTTTCTGAGACACCCCCCACCCACATGTTCTTGGGGGACGCATTGCCTTTTGTGTACCCTTGAAATTATCTGAATCATTCCCATCCACTGACTTAACCATTAAGTATTATTTGCAATGAAGGTTTTATTTGAACACAAATATTTGCCTAAAAATCTTAAATGTGTTTGGTGGAAGTGAGCTCTGGGCAATCCATCTGACTTGCTTGGCACAAGGGAGTGGGCATTTCACTTCTCCATAGTGCAGCCTCACTGAGATAGCGATGGTGTAAATGAGACACAAAATGTTTCCGTTGTTTAAATAGTCTGTGGAATTAGAACAGGCATGAATATAGCCCCCTTCCAACCTCTCTCTCTCGTCTTCCTCTCTCTCTTGTCTTGTATCATCTTGAGATCCAGAGATTTCCTAATGACCTAATAGGTCCAAGTCGCATCTCTTTCATGTGGTTAAAAATATCTGCCACACTGGAGGCTCTGTGCGTAGAGTGGCTCAAACAATGTCAAATGCATCAGGACTCCCATGGGGCACTGTTAAAGCCCCGCAAATGCTCTGGAGGAAAACAAGGCAGGCGCACCTCAAACTCCAACTTCCAGTGGCACTGGGGAAGCTCAGACAGGCATGGGAGTTAAATGCTGTGCTTTGAGAATGCATACATTTTCTATTTCCACAAATTCCAGTTTAAGATTTTTTCAAGTTTTTTTTTTTCTATGAAAATTTGATGTTTGGGTCTTTCACTCCAATTCAGGAAGAAGCAAATGCCCAAGTATCTACATATTGTATGTGATAAAAATTCCATTTTTCCATCATCAGTAGTCCCACAGAGGGTGAGACTGAGCTGCTTCATTAAAACTTTCCCACCCTGAAATGTGCTATGATATGAGACAGGGTCACAACTCAGATACAGCAATTATTGTATCTGTTTGGCTGGGATGCTAATCCTGGTCCTGGTAGTAGAAAAGGCCAGAAATGTAATTGATATGTGTAAAAAAAAAACCCTCAATAAATCCACGGAACAGAGGGACATGATGAAACCTGTTTATCTGGGCTAGGGACAGAAGTTACACACAAACTAGTTTAAGTGATCAGAAACTGGTTTAAACTTGTAACAGAATAAAAGTTCAGTGCACATAAACCAGTTTCAAAATTGTTGAACCTGGTTTCAGATAAACCTGGTTGAATGTAGTATCAGACTAACTGATTTAGGTCAAACTGGTTGATGAAACTTCTGTCCCAGACCCCTTCCTGGGTTAAGCTAAATCAAAGGCCCCCAGCATTTTGCAGCCCTGAGCTGTACTGTGCTGTCTGCTCCAGAGAGCAAGGCTGGCCCTGCCCCTCTGCTCCCTAGTTGAAGCAGTGAGGGCTGGCTGCCCCCTCCCCAGGCAAACCCCCACTGGAACCTGGGGCCAGGGAAGGAGGTTAAACTTCCCTTCCCTTGAGCATGGAGCTGCCCTGCCCTGCTTGACTAGTGCTGACTGTGACTGTGGACTACAAATCCCAGAGGCACCTGGAAGCAGGAAGAGGAAGTGATGAGCCACCCTGCAGAGTCCTGCTACTTTGATTTTGGACTGCAAATCCCAGAGACCCTAGGGCCAGCAGAAGGAGGAGGTGAACACACAGCCCATGTTGGCTACATGCCAGAGAAACATGATCTAGTGCCCCCTGGCTTCTGGCCTGAGCCACTGCAGGAATGTGGCTGCATTTCCTGAATCAAAAGTGAATGTCTGTTCATTTTGCTTATTGGTTCAATCTTAGACTAACCTGCAAAGACTGAATCCAGTCAGCCTTAGGCTTTTTGACTATCTGTATTTAGCCCTGTTGTCTTGCATAGAGACAAAGTAGGACCAGCAACATTTAGTTTGCAGAGGCCATGGTTCAGGATACCTCAGACTAGTATAAAAAGAACAGGAT